CTCCATCCATGGCGGTGACAACACTGCACCTAGACCCTGTGACTCTCAAGCCACCACCAGTTCCCACCAATAGAGTTCAGAGCCCAGGAAGACTTTGTCCCATTCTGCAGAGAGACAAATCCAGACAGCCAAGAGCGTTAGGTCAAGGTGAGTTTATTGTCCAAATAGCATAACCTAATTGCATCCCAAACCATTTTCAAATCCATCATATTTTTGTTGTTTTTGTTTTTTTAAGCTAGTCAGAATAACAGGTTATTTTAAAAATCACTTTAACACTGAACAGATAGGATCTCTTAAATGGCAGCTGACTACCATGTCACCATCATCAATAAAACATTATTTTTTTTCCTTCTTTCCATCCTAAAAACCTTGTTTAGACTGATCATGCTACTTTAGCATTCGCTAGCATTCCCGACCGAATAAACACCCACACCTCTTATAGAGTTACATTGTGAGAGAATAACATTGACTCTATATGGCATCACACTCGTTTTTTTTTTAAAGCAAAACAAAAAATAATAATAATAATGATAAAAAGAAGTTCAAGATGAGGAACTGTAACTGAGAAAGAGAGATCTGAGGTACACGGTAAATGAACTAATTGGAAAAAAATTCAATGGCCTAGAGAAATGCAGGGGAATCAGAGTTCCCACGCAGTAAGAATAAAACCCCATAATCATTAAAAAAAAAAAAACCAAAAAAACAGAAAACAAAATAACAACAAAACCCAAAATCAAGTGTTTTTTTTTTAAAGGACAGACATCTGTCAAAATATATGGGACACCATAAAGGGTACAGTCAGTAAGGCACTTTTTCCCCCAAAGTAGGCTGCAGCAAACACCCTACAAGATGTGATGACGCCTGCGTAGTATAGACCCTTGAGCTTGGCTTGTGCCAAGTAACAGGTGTAGAATCCAGCGAGTCTATAAAGCAGAGACACACACGTGGCATCGTGGTTCTGACTGAAAAGGACCCCCCAACCCCCCATCCCCACCCCACCCGCTTGTGGAGAATCCCGAATCCCACAGAACCATGCGGACCAGAGAAGCTTGTGGATGGTGCCCTCCTCTGCTGGATTCTTGCCTCCGCAACCCCCGGGGTCCACATGAACCCCAACCCCCCAATGCAGACAACTCTGGGAAACTGCTCCCGGCCCTCACCGAGGAAAGCGACCAGCGCTGGATGACTTCAGGGCTCGGCTCAGCACTCATTTCCCTTTTAAAGCTAATTCTCAGGGTCCGACTGTCTCAAAGATAAACACGGAGGAATCCTTTGGGCTCCCAAGTCCCACAGGCTCGAAACAGGACCTCCTGGAACTCCCTCAGCTTTTATTTACAGGAGATTAAGGTGTTAAGTCTCTTTTCCCCAGGCCTCTCGGAGAAACCATCTGATCCTGCCTGACTGGGTGGATCAGGCGAGTACCAGAGTTCCTGGGACAGGGAGGTCAATTATCCCCTAAGAGAAGCCCCCCCACCGCCACCCCCTCCCCATGAACCCATTCTGAGTGCAGAGACCATGTGAAACAGAGGGTGACAGAAAGACCTTGGTGGGGGGATTGCTGCAGGGGTCATGGAGCAGTCCTAGAATTAGAAGACCCCTGAAACGGTGGACAGTGGGGGGGGGGGAGGGACGGGCAGCTAACTGTGCCCGCAACACCAGCTTTGGGGCTGTTCAGAATCCGCATGGCATTCGGTCCTGCTGAGCACATATTTTTGGCATACTAGGAATTCCCACCCCCACCCCCCCACCCCCTTACAATTCGGCCAAGACTAGGGGAAAGGAAGAAAATTTGGCAAGTTAGGGGAACAACTGGGTACCCCCCCAACCCCTGCTGATTGAGAAAAACACCCCCCACCTCAGAGATAATGAAGGAGAGAAAAGACGTCACCAAAGTTAAAAAGATCAGAATTGGTGGAGAACCCCTTTTTAAATGTGGGAGATGAGAGAAACAGAAAAAAAAATTCAAATTAAAAAAAAAAAGAAAGAAAAAAAAATTAACAAATCCCAGGGGAGAATGGAACTCACTCCCTGGTCCAAAAACTCCTACCAAGGAAACCAAGATCCAAGGTCAGGGTTGTCTCACCCCAATAAAGCACATCCAGGGTGCTGCCTACCCCCACCAGTGTCAAGAGGGCAGGGATCTTCCTGACCAGCAAACCCAGCCCCAGGAAGGAGCTGAGCAGCCGTGTTCCCTGGCGCTCCAGGGAAAGCATCAAATTCCAGACTGCAGCCCTTTCTGGACAGGCCTGTTCCTTGGCTGTCCTGTGGGGTCCCTGGGAACTGATTTTAAGCCTGGCTGTCTCTTCAGGCAATAGGGCCATGCCTCCTCCATAGACTTTTGCAAGGAGGAGGACACTAAGCATCTCGGCTCTCCTCTCCGAAACGGCTCCCACACATCTCACCACTTTCTATTCCACCGGAAACTCCCTAGTAGATTTTAGGGTCATGCTAACTCACCAAGTCCAAAAGCCTTCTACCAAAACAATCAAAAACACGCACACATAAAAAAAAAAAAAAGAAACACCCTTCAAGAGAGACAGACTCCTCCATCTCTGGAGAGAACCGGCCCCTCGCCATCTCCTGTCCAATCCTCATCACACCTAATTCTTCCAATCCTGCCTGCTCAATGCCATCAAAACCCGAAGACCATTTCAGAGCCGCTCTGCCGAGATCTGGGCCGTCGGGGCACCTGCCCCGCTGCAGTCAAAGGTGGGTGCACCCGGCTACCTGCACCCCAGGGTGCTGCAGGCTCAGTTGCCCACACCACCATGAAGACTGAGAAAGATCTCTGAGAGTATCCGAACCTGGGCCTGGCCAGGTCCGGGAAGGGAAAAAAAGACGGGGTAAGGGATGCAAGACGGAAGGTCCTGGCAGGTCGAGGAAGCCCCCTGCTGTGGAAAGGGCTGGAGGGAGAGGGGTTTCCCAGGAGCCTGCTGGAATTTCCTTTCCGTCTCTACCTGCTCCCTGGCATACTGAGGTGCAGCCAAGTCTGGGTACCACGGCGGCTGCCGCAGTGGGGAGCGAGAACCCCTTGTTCTATCGTCACTTTCCCATCTAGAGGAGAACAGACCAGAGTCAAGACGGAAGCCTGCTGACCTTCTGACCTTGGTGGCCGGAAAGACCCCTGGGCTGAGACCCGGGGGGGCCCAAATCCAGGTGGCCTTCCACTCTCGGAGGGGGGGTCCGTTACAGCTCACCCCACCCCACCTCATTTCCAGCACCCTGGGCTCCCAAGCAGAAACTATAACTAACAAACTGTGAGGTATTATGAAAACAAAAATGTGAATCATTTTCTTTTGTAGCTATTGATTTTATCCAGTAAACCTGAGGTAAAAGAATACTCTGTCTTTGAAGAATGTGACCAGAGAGGAAAAATAAAATAAACTGAACCCAACAAAAGAAAAAAAAAAGCACCCCCCCCCCCCCCAAATAAAAGAAAACAAAAAACCCAACTGTGGATATGCTACCAAGAAAACAAGACTATGGAAAGGTTTTCCAGTATGAAAAACTCAAATCTCAACCATCGACTATTTCAGGACGTTAAGCAGTAAAATAATATATTATAAAAATGTTTATAAGATAGCAGCACACTGTAAAAACATTACAGCTAGGTACTGTTAATGGGAAGGATGAATGTAGCTTCTTAGCAGCGCAAAAAAAAAAATTAAAAAAAAAAAAAACCGAACACAATAAAATGAAAAACAAAATAGAGACCCTTAAGAATTTTCTCCATCTTTCAACCCTCAAACTACAAAACCAGGCAGAATCGGTGTATAAAATAAAGTTTTCAAGAAGCCCTGTTCTGGATTTTGCTGGTTTTCTTTTTTTCCCCCCCATAGAGAAGGCAGATATTTTAACACATAGCTTCATTACCTGTCAATTGTAACTGTGCAAAAAAAAAAAAATTATTGTTGCTCTAACCTCTTTGCCGACTGAATGCCTCCAAAGAAGTAGAGGGGCAGGGGGCGGGGATGGAGTAGTAATTCAAGTACGCTGAACACAATCTTGCTATGAAATGAACCGAAGAAAAATAAAAACAGAAACAAGCCAAAAAAAAAAAATAATGGAAAAGGGAGCAATGTTCCAGGCTGATGGGATGCCACTTTCCATGTCCAAAGGCGAAGGCTAGCGCGGTGGAAATGGTGACCCTCTAGCCATCCCAAAAATGCTAACAGAGCTTTTTAAATTTAGGCTTTGCTGAGGAATGTTGTGATGGGAATATCAGCGGAAAGGGGTGTCTCTAAATCCTGCTAAGGGCTCCCCAGAACTAGGTACCAGAGCCTGTCAGAGAGAGCCCAGAGGGGAAATAGAACCAAGCGTGGGGCAGGGACACCAGACGACGTGGGTCTGGGGTCTCCTTTCAGCACGATTTGCATAAACCATCCCATCTAATCCCTCGGGGAAACAATGTTTGAAAGTGCTTTTTCGAATGGAATGGTTTATAACAATGCTACACTGTTGACCAGACACGCCAATCAGCACCAAAAAAAAAAAAAAGTTTTTTTTTTTCCCTAATAAAGGATGCCAAGGTCACATTACTCTCTTTAACATACAAAGAGAAATGATTCCGTTCCAGATCCCACCCGAACACACGTGTTTTGGTTATGGCCCAATTACAAGATGGCCCCTTCGGGTACAAATAAGGAGGGGGGGGTGGGGGTGTCTGCGTAGAACCCAGTTTGGAAGAAGCAGCCATAAATGATAACTCAATGCAGGAAACCCAAGATCTTGGCACCTGGGTCCAACTGGCGAAATCCAACATCTTTTTTTTTTTTTTTTTTGTAGGTAGCAGCTATTGTAAACAGCAAAGGGTGTGGAATTTTGAGATGCGCCAATGTCTCTGTGTCAGTGCCTGCATTGCTTCCCATGCGTGGTGGGCAGCAAGAAAGTTGGTGCGTCTCCGTCCAAACTGGTCCAGGGGCATCGGACAGACTGATTCCTGCCCCCTCTCCCCCCCCCCCCCCCACCGCCCCCGACCTCTCCTGCTCTTGATTTCTGGTTCCTTCTGGAGTTCATTGCTTTGCAATCTCACTGTGTCATACATGACACATGCAGTTCCTTGACATTATCCTAAAAGGGATGTATGGGCTAGTTTGTGATATGAAAACAAATAATAACAACAACAGCAACAACAACAACAAAAAAAAAACAAAGAAAGCCTCCTCTAACTTGTCCCATATTGCAAGCATACATTTTTCACTAGCTACTCGCGGGTTTTCCTGTAAGCACTTGACTATTAACTGCTCGCATAAACAAGGGATTCCCTTTCTTGCTGTACTTCAAATAGGCACCAGATCACCAAATGCTTCGAACGATTCCGTTTTCTTTTTTATATAGGGCCCTTTTCTCTCACTTCTAAAAGATCTTTCAATAGGATCTACGTGGGGGAGGGGGTGGGGGGGGCAGACATTTTTTTCTTTGTTTTTTTTTCTTTTTTCTTTTTTTTTAAAGTTGCATCCTAAAAAACACACACGAAAGAACAGAAACATAACCAGAGAGGAGGAGAGAGCAGGATGGAAGGCGTCTCTCCCGCCGCCGCTGCAGGCCGGGGGCGCTCACAGGTCGATCTCCCGGACGTCCGTGGGGGTGCTGGCTTGATCCAGTTCCTCCTCCGACTTGGCCCCCTCGCCCTGGTCCTCGCGGTACTGCTGCAGGCTGTTCAGCAGCACCACCTCGATCTGCTCCTGGCAGGCCTTGAGGCAATCCTGGTGGGGAGAAGAGTCCCGGACAGCGAGGTGAGGGAGATGCCCCGGGCAGTGGGCAGTGGGAATGAACAAACGAACAAACGGGCACACACACACACACACACACACACACACACACACACACCCGGGGGCTCCGGGCAATGGGAATGAATGAACACACACTCACACCACACACACACACACACACCTGGGAGCCCCAGGAAATGGAAATGAATAAACACGCATGCGCACACACACCCCCACCACACACAAACACACCTGGAGGCCCCAGGTAATGGGAATGAACGAACACACACACACACCTGGGGGGTCTGGGCAATGGGAATGAAAACACACAAACCCCAAACACACAGACACACCTGGGGGGTCTGGACAATGGAAATGAACACACACACACCCTGAAAACACACACACACACACACACACACACACCTAGGGGCTCCAGGCAATGGGAATGAACAAACACACATGCAATGGGAATGAATAAACACACACACACACACACACCTGGGGGCCTTTTCCAACAGGAAGGAGTGGTTTCTACACACACACACACACACACACACACACACACACACACACACGGGGGCCTTTTCCAACAGGAGGAGGGAAGGAGTGGTTTCTCCACGTGGTGATGGTGCTGAGTACTTGGCCTGGGTACCACCCACTAAGCACTCAGGGAGGTGCTAAGGCAGCGGGGAAACCAGCACCTCGGCCAGCTGCCCCCGATCAAAGGCACGTGTCCACCTCACAGCCCAGGTCCTCTCATGGACATGAGCGACCCATAACCCAGGGGCACAACACAAGTGTCTTTGGGGAGTGGGGGGAAGGACAGAGTCCAGGCTGCCTGTATTGGACCAATCCTGCATCCCCCCTGGAGGCACCATCTAACCAACCAGCAACACTGCCTCGGGGAGGGCATTTGCCTTATACACGGGTTCGATTCCCAGCATCCTATAGGGTCCCCCGAGCACTGCCAGGAGTAATTCCTGAGTGCAGAGCCAGGAGGAATAACCCCGTGCATGGCTGCGGAGTGTGACCCAAAAAGCACTGCACTGTCCTCCCGTTGCATATTGTTACTGTGTTTGGCATATCGAATACCTCACGGGGAGCTTGCCAGGCTTTGCCGAGCGGGGTCGAGCGATAGCACAGCGGATAGGGCGTTTGCCTTGCACGCAGCCGACCTGGTCAGCCCAGGTTCGATTCCTCTGCCCCTCTCGGAGAGCCCGGCAAGCTACCGCAAAGCAAAGCGAAAGCAAGAAAGCAAGAAAGCGGGAGGGTCTTGACACTTTGAAGCTTTCCCACCCAAACCAGCCCCCCACCCCCACCCCACACGGCTCCACTCTGGTGCCTAGCAGCTCCAATCTTTCCAGGGGAGGGGCCAGAGATGGAGTAGGATGAAGGAGCCTGCTTGAACCTGGAAGGAAAAAGAGACGAAGGGCAGAAGGAAACTGTGCCAAGCGTAGCCATGGGCCCAGAGCGAGCGTACAGCAGGTGGGGCGCTTGCCTGGCCTGTGGCATCCCATAGAGTCCCTCCAAGCACCACCAGGAGTGATCCCCGAGCACCGCCTGGTCTGACTCACAAACTCAAGAAGAAAGCGAAGGTGGGGGTGGGAGGAAGGGGAGTGGGGATGAGGCAGGTGCCACCATTTCAGAACCTGGGGGTCTGGAGGGGGGGGGGAAGGGTCTGCAGGACTTGTAGCGTCACTTCACCAGGACTAAGGTGACCCTTTTGCCACCCCCCCCCCCCCAGCCCCAGGCCCTGCGCTTGAGGCCTGTGGCTGAGTAACTTGGCAAGCCTGCTTCCAGAACTCTCTCCCGTCTCGCCTCTCCCCTGTTCAGCCCAAGGGATGGGAAAGATCCGCCCCTCCCCAGCCTTCAGAGGCAAATCAAGGACTAGGAGACATGGGGGGGGGGGAGTGTGGCCATTTGGGGGACCCCTGCTTCCCTCTCCCGGAAGCACCAGCCTTGGGTGCTGACACACGCCCTCCCCGCCCCCACCCCCCCCCACCCTCCGTGCCCCCCGACTTCCTCCGCTGGCTGGCTCCAGCCTTGCGCACTGCAGCCCCGCGGCCGGCCGCATGAATGGGCCGACGGAACTGGGAGCAGCAGCCCCCCGTGAGTGAGCATCCCTCATTATCCCGGCCTCCCACGCCGACACAAAGGGCTGAATGAGCCCGGAGCCCCGGCCAACTCAGGCAGAGACAAGCTAGGAAACTATCTCATGCTGCCTTTCTTCCCGGGCTATTGGGTTCGTTTCCTTGCATACCCAATGAGGCCCCCCCAACCCCGGGGTGTGTGTATGTGTGTGTGTGTTGTCGGGGAAAGCGCCTCTGATTCCGCTCCCTTCTCCCCCAACCTCCCCCCCCGCCCCGCCCCACTGTGCAAGCTGGCTTTCTAGACATGGCATCTTCAGACCAGACTCCCCACCCCCCCCGACCCCCGCCACCCTGAAAAATCCCCGGACTCCGAATATGATGAGTAAGAGAGGAGTTCAAGAGTGCTTCCGGCTAAGGCTCCTCCCAAGAGCGCAGATTGGAACTGGGGGGCCCTTCAGATAGTTTGTGTCTTGCAACTGCTCATGGTTCTGTGATTATGATCAAACCCCACAACGGGGTTCCTCAGATGCCACGGTGACACCTGAACAATGTGACCGGGAGGGCTGGGATGACAGCACAGTGGTAGGGGATTTGCCTTGCACGTGGCTGACCCGGGTTCGACTCCCAGCATCCCATAGCGTCCCCCGAGCACCGCCAGGAGTCATTCCTGAGTATAGACCCAGGAGGAACCCTGTGCATTGCTGGGTGTGACCCAAAAAAAGCAAAAAAGCCAAAAAGCAAAAATAAATAAATAAAAAAGGATGCGACTGGATGTTGGCATCTTGCAATGGCCCAGGAATGACACTCCAGGTTCTCTCTATGGGGGCGTGGCCACGCAGGGCCCAGCACCTGGAGAAGCCAGACAGCCTTCATTTTTGACTTTGGTCCTCTGGGAACTGCTACCTGCCTAGCTGTGTGGCAGGCAACCCGATGACGTGCCCTGGGATAACAGCGGCTGCAGCGAATACACAAAGGTCCACGGGAGTTTTCACAAAGGCCCCGAGGGACCCCAGGATGTTAAAGGCACTTGCAGGCTGGTCTTTGTACCCCGCTCGCTCCTTCCTGCCTCTCCCCGGCGCCTCCTCTTGGCTTCCCTCCCCAAGGGAACGGGGCTGAGTCACCACTGGGGCTTGTTCAAGGGGTTCTATAGACAAGCGAGCGGTGAGATTAAGCGTTGGCATGAAACCTGACGGATGAAGAGCCCCCGGTCGTTCCTGGGGGCAGGGGGAGGTGTTTGTGGGGGGCAGAGACGGCTTCTCCAGGGAACCAGGAGGGTGGGTGAGACCCCACCCCCGTTCAAAGACACGGCCCGCATCAGAAGCTCAGAACCACCCTCCCCCTCCCCCACTCCCCACGCAGAAATGGTCTCTCTGGCTCATGCCTGCTTTTAGCAACACTTTGGAGTGGAAGGAAAAAGTCCTTAAAATATAATACCCGCTGAAATTTTATTCCCTGTCAAACTGTCGGGCGTCTCACTCAGTTTTGTCGCCGGAACGGAGCGTTCCCGGTTTATCTTGGCACCCGGGGGACCCACTGAGAACCGTTTCTCAGGAGCATGTGGGCACTGCTGGGGGTCTCTGAGCAACCCTGCCAGGAGCCGAGGGTACCCCCCGCCCCCCCGCACCGTCTACATCTGATCCCCCTCAGCCCATGGGCAGGAAAAAACCGTGCACTGGGGATGACATCCGGGCAGCATGAGCTTGGGGCCAGGGCAGAGCTGGGGTGGTCCTGGGGTCAGGGCTGGTCGGCGACATGGATTAGTAGCTCTGCCTGTACCTTCAGTGCCAGGAGGCCTTTGAGGGTCATGGCCTGGCCTGCTGAGACCCCAGGGTCTTCCAAGTGGACCCGTGTGCGTGACAGGGACGGGCTACTTAGAGCAGCGTCCCAGGACGGGGGTGGGGTGGGGGACAGTGAGGTTTGGGCCATTTTCCCGGGGTTCATCTCTGCCCCTAAGATACCACACTGCCCCACTTCCTGTCTGGGTATGAGAATCCCAAGCTGGACTTGGCCGGGGTCACTCTGCTGCCCCATGCATCTGGACTCAGCCACTAGAGTCCAGGGGCAGCCGGCCCGGCCCAGGGGTGGAGACTTAGTGTGGGGCCACTAAGCTTCTTCAGAGCACCTAGTGACATCACACGAGGCTCTAAACTGATTACTTTTTTTTTTTTTGCTTTTTGGGTCATACCCGGCTATGTACAGGGGTTACTCCTGGCTCTGAACTCAGGAATTACTCCTGGCGGTGCTCAGGGGACCCTATGGAATGCTGGGAATCGAACCCAGGTCAGCCGCGTGCAAGGCAAACGCCCTACCTGCTGTGCTATGGCTCCAGCCCCTCTAAACTGAGTTTTGGCTGCACCCAGGGGGGCATAACAGTTTATTTCACATGGGTCCACTTAGTTTTCTTTTGGTGGCGGGACACGCCCAGGGGCCCAGCTTGCTTTCACACAGCTGACCGGGGTTTAATCCCTGGTACCCCATCCATTCTCCGCAGCCCTGCCAAAGACTGAGCACAGAGCCACGAGAAAGCCGTGAGCACTGACAGTAAGTCCAAACCCCAAACCCAAAAATAAATACATAAATAAATAAATAAATAAATTTATGAGACTTCTTCCCTTTTTGGTGGCGCAGACGCCAGGATTACTCAGTGATGCTCAGGACTCACTCCTGGCTCTGTGCTCAGGGATCACTCCTGGCAGCGCTGGAGGACCATGGTGGGGGGGGGAGGGCGGAGTCAAACCCAGGTCAGCTGTGTGCAAAGCAAGTCACCTTAGCTACCACTCTCACAGCCCTAAGACCCAGCCCCTTGCGGGCCAGTCAGGGTGCAACGCTTGAAGTCTGAAGTCGGGGCTCTTGAAGGTTTCACCAGTCGGGTATACCGGTCGGGTCTCAGGAGTCCACGTGCTGGCCGGGATAGGTCCTGTCCTTGCACCCCTGACCTCTGTCTTTCCTCCCCAGCCTACCGTGTTTCATTTCAAACATGGTCCACTTGAAACTCTGGGACCCCTGGTGAGAAGGGCTGGGTGGGAGGTGGAAGGAACGACCCCCTCTAGACCGGTCACCGGTATCTGATATCTGAACAGAGTATCTGAGCGCTGTGAGGAGGGCCAGCTGCCGGCTCTGGCTGGCTTGCAAGCTTGAAGAGCAAGAGCTGCGGATGGTCACCCCATGGGTGACCCCTGCTTGCTCACAACCCGTGAGGGATGCTGGGGAGAGACGTGGGAGAAAGCTGGAGCGGGGATCAGCCAATGAGAGCTGAGAGCAGGTCTATAAATAAGCAGGGAGCGTCCTGCTGCCTCGGGGGTCAAAAGCTTGGAGCTGACGTTTCTGTCTCTGGGGGTCAGGGAAGGGGTCCTCCCTCCTAGGGGCCCCGGAGTCCTGCCTTAATAGGAGATTTGCAGAGAAGGAAGGAAGTGCTGGCCCAGATTCCCCCCTCAAGCACTCGGCGTGGTTCCTCTGGCCCCCACGCCCCCCACCCTTCCCTGGGTGCCCACAGTGAACCCTTGGCACCCCCCACAGCCCCCCCACTTTGAGAAACAATGCTCTAGGGGCCCAGAAAGTGTGACGCATCCTTGGTCCTGCGAGGTGGGGAAGCGCGCCTTTCGCATCTGGATTTGAGAACCCCCGTTTTTTGTTTTTGTTTTTTGGGTCACACCCAGCAATGCTCACGGGTTACTCCTGGCTCTGCATTCGAGAATTACTCCTGGCGGTGCTTGGGGGACCCTATGGGATGCCGGGAATCGAACCCAGGTCGGCTGCATGCAAGGCAAACAAACGCCCTACCTGCTGTGCTATCTCACTCCAGTCCTGGGAACCCCAGTTTTGAGAAGCCGGTTTTGGAGTCGGCATTTAAGAAGCTGATGTAAGATTGACTTGGGGAGGCCCTACCCTGCCCCCACTACACCAGACCCTCCCCAGGACTCCTGAGCACCTCAGAGCCCACAGCCTTCTCTCCAGTTTCCTTCCTTCCTTCCTTCCTTCCTTCCTTCCTTCCTTCCTTCCTCCCTCCCTCCCTCCCTCCCTCCCTCCCTCCCTTTTTTTGGGCTTTTTGGGTGACACCCAGCAATGCTCAGGGGTTCCTCTTGTCTCTGCACTCAGGAATCACTCCTGGCAGGGCCCTATGGGATGCCAGGGATCGAACCCAGGTCAGCCGCAAATGCCCTCCCTGCTGTCCTATTGCCCTGGGCCCTCAAGGTGCCTTTCAACCAAGGCATGGGAGGGAACAGCAAGGGAGCAAGATCAATTCGGACCCAAACTCGTTATCACCAAGGGCAACGGGACAAAGATGAGCTAGCTGGCAGGGGCGTGTTCCCTGGCTCCCGGGTGGGGACCAGGAACCAGAACCGACTTGGAGACCCTGGGTATCACCCGGGGCATTTCTTCTACAAGGTGGCAACCAACCCCTCCCGCCATCACTACCTTGACCACTGAATTCCCCTCCCCCCCAACCCCTGCCCAAGCCAGCCAGCCAGCCAGCCGCGTTGGTCCCGGGAGGAAATGGCCACCTACCACATCGGTGTTGGTGACCTTGGCCAGCAGATCGACCAGGGCATCGCCGGTGAGCGAGCTCACGTCCTCATCCTGCTGCAGCCCGCAGATGGCGGCCCCCACGCTGCCTGTGGCGATCATGGACGGCGGGTACATGGCAAACTTGAAATCTGTGGGGACAAGAGGCAGGAAGTGAGTGGGCAGCAGATCCTCAGACACGGGCGGGTGAGGGGCTAGAGAGTCGAGGGGTACCCCCCTCACTAGGACAGCCCCCATTATTGATGGGATTAAAAAAAAGAGGTGCTTGGAGCAACAGTAGTGCAATGGGTAGCGCCCTGCCTGGCATGTGGCTGACTGGATTAGCTCCTCGGTACCCCAGAGTGCTCCCGGGGCCCGGCTAGGAGTGATCCCCGAGCCCTGTTGGGGATGCCCACCACCCCAAATGGGAAGAGAGACCGGCTAGAGAGAAGTGCAGAATGAGGATGGATTTTGTGGGGCTCGAACCCCCAACGCCTCGGTCTCCGAGAGCTGCTCTGAGCAAGGATTCCTCCTAGGCCACCCGAGAGGTGGTGGCCGCCACTTTGCCATGCTGCCAGCAGGGGGCGATAGACATCCCTGCCAGCCTCAGGTCACTGGTGGTCACTGGTGATCACTGCTGCCCGCAATGACTACCGTGTTCTACCCTCGCTACGGGTCACTCCCTGCCTGGTCCACACACCATCTCCCCGCAAGCTGTCTGAGCCCTCTGAGGGTCCAGGGTGTGCTCCCGAGGTCCTGGGCTTGTCCTTCACCTCAGCACAGTCCAGCAGCGAGGGCAGCAAAAGAGGGGAGAGGAGGGACAGACAGTGACAGGCAGAGAAGGAGGCCTGGGACACACCGCACAGCCCTGGGGACCCCCCTTCTGTCCTATACAATGCTTCCTGATTACTCTGGGGCCGCACCCGGCGGTGCTCAGGGCTTACTCCTTGCTCTGTGCTCAGGGGCCCCTGCATGGACCCTCTCCAGGTCAGACCCCTGAACAGCCCGCCTGCCTGCTGTCCAATGGCTCTGGCCACACGTGCTTTCTTTTTTGCCACACCCAGCGATGCTCAGGGGTTACTCCTGGTTCATGCACTCAGAATAACTCCTGGGGGTGTTTGGGGGACTCTACGGGATGCTGGGAATCGAACGCGGGTCGGCCGCTTGCAAGGCAAACACCCTCCCTGCTGTGCTATCACTCCAGCCCCCACATGCCTTTTTTTTTGGGGGGGGGTGGTGGTTTTGGATCTCTCCAAGGGGAACTGTGGTACTGTGTGATGTCGGGTGGAGGAGGGGACCCAGGAATATGGCATGCAGAGAGTCTGCCTGGCGTGTGCTCAGACCCATGAGCACTCACCCCACAGCCCACAAGCGACCCATTCTGATCACGGGGGAGGTGTGGTTAGAATCATGGGAGACCCCTGCACCCTGCTTCCATCGCCTCAACCCCGTCCTAGGAAGACAGACTCTCTGTCTGTCTGTCTATCTGTCCGTTCCTGGCCTCTCCTTCCTGAGGCCTCAGCAGGGACCCTGGTGCATAGCCAGCCCGTGGCCCGCTAACTCCCCGCCACCCGTCTCCCTGCCCCCTGCTCTGCGGTAGGTCCCTCTCACGTGGGGTCACCAGGACAGGGTTCCCTGCCCAGTCACCTCGTTAGTTTCCCCCTGTGACATTCATGGTGCCGCCAGGGTGGTGGCCAGGAGCTGGCCCGGGGCCCTGCACAGGCTGGTGGCCTGAGCATCTGGCAGGGCGGGGCTCAGCCCTGGAGGCGCACCTCCCCCGCCCGGGTTTGTGAGCACACTGTGTGCAGAAACCAATTCCCATTTTTTTTTTAATTTTTAGCCAATTAATTAAATTCTGGAAGCCAAGGGGATTAGATGGGTGGTCTAGCAGTCCAGCCAGTACCACCCAGGCTTAGGGCCACCAGGAAGAATGAAGGGGATGGACGCCCTCCCGGAAGCGCCGTCTTCCTAACTGCCCAGAACTGGGGAACGGGAGATACATGACTCCGATCACCAGCCAGGCTAGCCAAAAGAGGTGAAACGCGCACACTCCAAAAGGTAGACTGAGGCACTCCTGAGAAGTGAGCACCCCTCCCATATCCCGTTTATCTACAAGGGGTCCCACCTGTTAACTCTCAAGGGTCAGGAAATCCATCCAGGAACCAGGAGATTGTCATTATCATTACATTTTGCTACTGTGTAACTAAATGGGACAGGATGAAAATGTCCGGAAGGAGGGGCCCGAGGGACAGTACAGCTGGGAGGGTGTTTGCCTTGCATGCGGCAGACCTGGGTCCAATCCCCCGCATCTCATCAGGTCCCCCAAGTACCGCCACAAGTAACTCCTGAGTGCAGAGCCAGGAGTATCCCCTGAGCATTGCTGGGGGTGACCCCAAAGACAAAAAAAATAAAATAAAATAAAATCCCAGAACTTCAATTAAAATGGAAAAAAAAATGTCAGGAAGAAGCCTGCAGTTAATTTAGTTGTAGGAAAAGTGTGTGTGTGTGTGTGTGTGTGTGTGTGTGTGTGTGTGTGTGTGTGTGTCTGGGGGAAGAAAGGACACACAAACACCCAGTGGTGCTCAGGGCTTATTCCTGGCTCTGCACTCAGTGATTGGTCCTGGTGGGGATCAAGTAGTGAGGAACTGGAGCCTCGAACCCTGGTCAGCTGCATGCAAGGCTGTCCCTCCCTCCCAGCCCCAGTGTGAGGGACTCCTGGATCCCTTTGACGCACCTGGACCCCACAGCCTGAGTGGCAGCAGACCGAGGGCATCCGCCCATCGCATTCAGCAGAGGAAACTAGAGACGGGACTGCCTGCTCTCACAGGCTTTCAGGCGGGGTTCCTGGGGACACGGGGTAACCCTCTCCTGCTGCCCGGGAGTCACAAGGTCCCTGCTAGGGGCGAGGAGGGGGCTGCCCACCATCAGGGGCTGCCCCAGGGACAGCCCCTCCCCAGGGGAAACAGCCCCGAAGGCAACACTGCGGCAAACTCAAAGGGGATGTGTTTGTTTCTGGTGCTGAGTCAACCTGCCCCTCCGGCAGACCGAGGGGAATTCCACACACTCCAGCAGCTCTTGAGAGGGAGTGAGAGGATGACTTATAGCCTCGTGCACTTGTGCCCACCGCAAGGACCCTACCCAAGTGCACCCGGCCGTGAGGAGGCATCGCAGGCTGGGGGGTTTCCTCTCACACGTGGGCGAAACGGGAGACACTTTGCACACGCATCAGAGGCAACTTTAGGGTTGGCTCCACAGGCTGGAGCATCTGCTTTGCATGCAGAAGGCCTCCCAGCATTCGGTGCCCTGCCCCCACCCCACTGTAAGACGCCCCGAGCTATGCCAGGAGTTATCTCTGAACCCCAGGAAGCTGGAAGCAGATGTGATCCCAACAGCTGCCCTTGAAAAAAGGGAATATACATATGTATATATGTGTGTGTATATACACACACACAGTGTATATATGTATGTATATATGTATATATGTATATATGTATGTATATATGTATGCATGTATATATGTATACACACACTATATATACATAAGCAACTAAGATGTATGGAACAAAAATCCCTCAAAAAAGCTTCTAGGTCTCCTGTTCCCAACTTCCACCATACTCTTTCTTTTTTGGCTTTTTGGGTCACGCCCGGTGATGCTCAGGGGTTTACTCCTGGCTCTGCACTAAGGAATTACTCGGTACTCGGGGGACCCTAGGGGATGCCAGGGATCGAACCTGGGTCAGTCACATGCAAGGCAAAAAGGCCCTACATGCTGTGCTATCACTGCAGCCCCCATCACGCTCTTGTGTGGAGTGAAATGTCACAGCTTGTGTTTTTGTGTGTCAGTTGCTCGCTGGGGGTGGGGGGATGGGAATTGGTGATTTCCCGAGTACCCCACAGTGCAGAGATCACAAACTGTCTTCCTCCCCGCTCCAGGTTTGCATGGATATTTCTCCCCCAAAGACCCCATTCAGAACACAGTCACTCCTGTTGTTCTGAATGGAGTGGGTGCCCACCAGTCACTTCTCCAGAAACTTCCCCGAGGGATGGAGCACTGTCTTCAAGGGCAGAGGAGACCTTGGGGACCACTCACCCAGGTCATGGGAGGAGCCAAGAACTCCCAATTACAGGAAGGGGGGCAGGTGGGCGCCTGATCCCCACCCCCACCACCTCTGGGCAAAGACAGGCAAGAGACCCTCTTTTCTGAGCCTCATTCAATTCACCCCCAGTTCAGAGGGATCTCCTGATGCCCCCTCAGTGCACAGTACCACCAGCTCCATTGTCACTATGGCCAAAAACCCTGGCTCTGTGCTCAGGGATGACTCTTAGTGGGACTCAGGGGGACCCTAGCAATAGCGGGGACTGAACCTGGGTTGGCGCATGCAAGACCAGCACCTTCTCCCACTGTTCTACCTCTCCAGCTTAGCCCCACTGGAACTTTCTGTGGGACTCTGGGACTCCCAGGTGGTCTGTTCGGCATGGGCAGGCAGAGCTGCACCTTGTGCCCATCCCGAAACCTGCTGGTTTGTCGGGGAGTGGTAGGCTGGGGGGTATCACAGGAAAAGGAAAAGGGCCCCCCCATCGTTCTAGGTAAGAAGCTCTCTACGGCCCTGCCGTACTCTTAGTTTCCACCCGGCCTGTTTGAGACAGAGTTGACAAGGGGCAGAGCCCACCTTCTGGAAGCTGGACACAGCCTCCCTTCCTCCCGGGCACAGGCAGCGGAGGGGGACCCCGGAGGGCTCTCTGGCCGGGTGATGTTCACTCCCCTGGAAGGCAGTGATGGAAGATGCACTTGGAGGTGGACATCGTCTCTGAAAATGGCAGTCGGCACAGAAGAAAGAGCCCCGGGGTGTCCAAGAGATGGGGACCAGTCCTGGCCACGCCCTGGGCCCTACACAAACAGTTCCCAGTTCTGGACCAAACAGATTTTCAGACGAGATCTGGCGCTTTCAGGGGGCTGGAGAGATAGCACAGCGGGTAGGGGGTTTGCCTTGCACATGGCCAACCCGGGTTCGATTCCCAGCATCCCAAATGGTCCCCTGAGCACCGCCAGGAGTAACTCCTGAGTGCAGAGCCAGGAGTAACCCCTGTGCATCGCCGGGTGTGACCCAAAAAGCAAAAAAAAAAAAAACAAAACCAGATTTTCAACCCGGGTTTCCCAAGGTGCAGTTTAAGGCGGGATTGCTTTGCTCTTGTCCACCACTAGGGGGCGAGATCCTGGTGCCCAGGTCAAAAAGAAGGAGTCCCCAGCTGGGACTTAACCCCCATCCTGCCAGGCACATCTGTGAAATCAGCCAGGACCTCACTCTCGTCCCCACCCTTTGCAGGCCCTGCTGGGGTGATGTCAACTGGTAGGGGAGAGGATTGGGAAGGGGGGAGGAAGGGAGCCCTTCTGGTCCCCCAGCCCTCCTTCATCTTATAGTCAGAGGGGGCCTGACAGAGTCCCCTAAAGGCACCCCCCACTTGTCTCCAGGGGAACACTCAAAATAGAGCTCCACAGCCTCTCAGCTGGACAGTGGCTTCTCAGCTGGTGATTGCACAGTGTGCGTGCGTGCGTGTGCGTGTGCGTGCGTGTGTGTGTTCAATTCTGGCTTCCTGGCAACCACCTACAGAACCTTCATATCCAAGCAAGGGCCAAACCTCTCTCCCAGGATGAAATGTGGGGAAAACGCTTTTGTGGAATATAAAGTAACTATTTATAATAGAGAAAAACACCCAAACACCCAAGGATAGTAAAGATAAAGTCCAGGAGGGTGGCCCCCAGGGCTTGGAAGCCGATTTCATTGCTGGGGGAGAAGGCAGGTGGGATGGAGAAGAGACCACTAAGCAAATGATAGTTGGAGGGACCGCTCAGGATGGGACATGCATGATGAAAGCAGGCTATGGACCAAACATGATGGCTGCTTAGTGCCTATGTTGCAAACCATAACACCCAAAAGGAGAGAGAGAGAGAGAGAGTTAGAGGGAATGTGTCTGCCACAGAGGAAGGGGTTGGAAAGGAATGGGGGTGGTGGGAGGGACACTGGAACCATTGGTGGTGGAGAATGGGCACTGGTGGAGGGATGCGTACTCCAACATTGTTTGACTGAAACGTAATAACGAGAATTTGTAAGTCTGTAACTGCACCTCACTAGGATTCATTAAAATAAAAAAAAATGTGGGGAAGTGTCTTTACGTAAAGGGAGGGGGCAGGGTTGTTCCATCCTTGCTGGATCTCAGGCCCAGGGAGTCTCAGGGTGGGGGCCGTTTCGTGCATCACCTGGAGGGGGGAGGGGTGTCTGCAGCCACGGGGAGGAAGGGGAAGTGCTCCTCCTCGCCAAGCTCCGACTCAATGCCATTGGCTATTCTGGAACCATCTGCCAAGGGGTCATGGACAAGATCCCCCTCCCCGCCAACGCTGGGATGCAAGTCTCTGCCTCCTCTATCCTTCCTTGTCTGCAGAGCTGGGGGGTCCCACCCTCAGAGCCACAGCCCCTGGTGTAAGCACTGTAGAGGCGCAGTTCATTTCCTCAGCTCCCGAAACTCCAGGGGAGGGAGGGTCAGGAGGGGTGGTCTCAGGGAGGCTCCACTCCAGACCCCACACACCAAGGATGGGTTGGGAAAGGGGTACCAGGCAGCAGTCTGCCCCCAGGAGCCTTTGTGGGCCGGGCAGGGAGAGGAAGGGGACACCCCTCCATCTGCTCCTTCCGGAGAGCTCTCCGGAGTCCCCCAAACTCTTCTGGTTTGGTCCATGTATGCAGGTTCCCAGCATGCACGGTGCACGCACATACACCCACGCACACACCACGCACACTGCCCCCCCCCAAAAACACCCAGAGACATACACCCAGGCACACACACATTCAGTCAAATACGCACCCAGGTATGTATGCACACAGGTGCACCCCCGGGCACCTGCACCTCTCATTCACATCTGCTCACTGGAGCAGCTGGTCACTAGCTCCTGCCGTGGGGTCGGGGACTCCTCCAGGCTCCCCAGCAGGACAGGGGGGCGGGGGGAGCGGGGGACTTTGGGGAGGGGGCGGGGCGGGAGGAGTCCCCAGCAAGCGCGGCTCCTCCCTGCTGCGCAGCGCCACCTGGTGGTGGTTCTAGGACTGGCCACTCTGGGAAACGCCAGCCGGGCAGGCAAAGAAACGCCCCTGGAGGGGCCCGGGAGCAGGGGGGTGGGGGGGCGGTCCCCCCGAGGCGCTGGCGCCAGCCCACAGCTCACGCAGACTTCCTCTGCAGCCCCGCCTGGACCTCGGTCCTCAGTCTCAGGATCCCAGCTCCCTACTCTGGCCCCAAAGTTGGCAGTCACTCCAGGGATCTGGGCTAGAAGGCCGCTGCCCCTTCCTGTGAGGCCGGGAGCGGGAAGGGGGGAGGGGTCGGACCCCAGAAGATGGGGTGGGGGTTAGCGAGCCAGGCCAAGTGGAAATCTGCCTCTCAAGCCCTGGGCAAGCTTGGGGTGGGGTGGGGTGGGGTGGGGGGTGAGCTGTCCACAGGCCCGAGAGGAAGGGCAGTTAGCTAGTGACCAGGGGCTGCCCAGGGACTGTCCGCTGCCCGGAAGCAGAGGATCCGTTACTGCCTAAAAAGTAGCAGGAATGCCCAGGGTCTCTGGGGTAGGGACCCCCCCTCCCTCCCAACTAGGCTGCAGTAAGGTTGACTCAAGGCTGTCCAGGGTCCCTGGTGTTGTTGGCTGACAGCTGGGCTAACGGACCGGGCAGGGCCAGGAGGATTCTAACCCCCCCCCCCACACACACACACACATTGGGTCGTCCTGCATGTATGGCTCCGTAGAGCACCAGGTGTCCTCACTTCTCTTCCCCACCACCCCAAAAAGCTGCTGGCAGGATCGTACCCACTGGTCAGAAAGGTAAGGCGGTCTGGCCCAGGTCACCCAGGCCGAGAGGTTAGCCAAGGTCACCCAGGGTGAGGGTCTGAACTTTTGACTGTGAGCACAGCCTGAGAACCATTGCATCTGGACCCACTCAAGAAGGTCACGGTGAAACGAGTCCTGACAGTCCTCCCCACCAAAACATAATGTCCATCTGGCTTACTGGAGCTGACCCCCTCAGTGACCTTGGCGGCAGGGCAAAAGGATCTGCAGGGGCGGTCTGTTGGAGCACGGACCCCGGAGACCTGGGAGGGCGACGACCCTTCCCTCCTGACTGTCCAGGGGAAGTTTCCCTCAAAGTGGCCCCCCAGGGGTGAAAGCGGCCAAGACAGGGTCAAAAGGCTCGCGGGGCAGTAACTATGTAGCAACCGGGGTCTGCGCTTGGCAGGTGGAGCTTTGCAGAGTCTCTGGGGGTCCTGACGCTGGGAGCCCCAGATTTACCCCCCCCCCCCCCCCCCCCCCCGCCCACAGCCAGAGGGTCGGCTCTGGAGCATAAGGTCACAGGGTCAAAGGATTTCTTTGGTCCAGTCTGTTCATCCTGATAGAGGGCCCTTAAACCAGTTGCTCCCCCCTCCCCTTGAAATTTCCTCTTGGGTTTATCCCCATGACATCCTTTGCTTCCGCATGAGATCTTTTTTTTTTCCGCTTTTGGGTCACACCCCCCAGCGATGCACAGGCACAGGGGTTGCTCCTGGCTCATGCACTCAGGAATTCCTCCTGACGGTGCTCAGGGGGACCCTATGCAATGCTGGGAACCGAACCTGGGTCCGCGGGCGTGCAAGGCCAACGCCCTCCCTGCTGTGCTATCGCTCCAGCGCCCCCCATGAGAAACCTTAAAACCCCAGCAGAGAGCCGGTGCAGAATCTTCCCACGAAACACGAGACCCAAGGATATTGGCGCATGCTGCACTCTCCCGACCACCACGACGCCCCCCACTCCCAGCAGCCACGCGTGAGTCCTGTCTGCAGTGGAAAATGAACGATTCTAGCCCAGCCCAGGAATCCATCGAAGCCTCGGCCCGAGAAGCGGGCCCACCCACCGCTTCCCCTGGGAGTTGCCGCCCCTCCCCTCGCTCCGCCCCGCCCGGCCGCCCCCTGCCCGCTCCTACCGGTGGCGCACAGCGCGATGAAGGTCTGGGCGTGCTTGCGGATCAGCGGCAGCTTGTCGTTGGGCTGCGGCAGCTTGCGCAGAATGTGCTCGATGAAGTCGTGGGGGGTGACGGCGGCCAGGTTCCACTTCAATTTGCCCAACACCACCAGCTCCCACTCCTGGGCGGGGTAGAGGAAGAAGGGGAGCCAATCAGGGTCGGGGGCCAAGCTCCACGCGCGGACGCACGCCCACTCACTGGCCCCCCCGCGTGACCCCTAGTGGTGCTCGGGGACCACGCCTGTGCCAGATCTGGGGGGCGGGGAACGGGTAGTCTGGGGTGCCAGGGAATCAGAAGGGCTTCCCGGCTGTTTACCCAGTCACTGGATTTGAATGATCCACCCACCCACCCGCCACAGGGCCATTTGTCCCAGCGCCCCTAAAGCTGTGAAGCTGCTGATGGCCCTCTCTTTGGCCCCACTGAAGATCATGAGGCCTGAGGCCTGCTGCCAAGAATTCATTTTCTTCTAGTTCTTTTTCCCTCCGGAGCAGTTTTTTGGGGGGAGAGTGGGGGGGGGGGTGCTCGAAGGGCCATGCCTGGGAGCTAGTGCTCGGGCCTGTTGACGTGGGGCTGCTGGGACCTGGGTGGGCTTCCAGACACTGGGCATGCGTCCTCGGAGTCCTCTCGGAGGCCCTCAGTGGTATTCCATTTCCTCTCCAAGTCCCGTTTTTTTCTCCCCCTCCCAGGCCTGACTTGGGGGCAGAACACCCTGAAAGCTGAATCTGACATCTGGGCCAGGTCACGGCGGCCCTTGGGAAATAATTCACTGGTTCTGTCTTTAGCCCAGCATGAAGTGTTCTTTTCTGTTTTTTTTTATCTTGGTAGAAAAAAATGATGCATACCAGATACAGCTCGAATAAGGGTGCCTGACCCAATTCCACAGCCAGCATGGGGTGGGTGCCCCGAGGGGCTGCTTTTCTCGGCTGTTTTGAAATTTCCCCTGGCATGTAGTGCAGGAGACTTGGGGAAGGGCCCCAGCACCACCAGGGCCTTGGCACCCTGTGTCTCTTGGGTGTTAGTCACTGACGCATCTGGAGGGGAACCAGGAAGGGGCTTATCCAGGGTCATGGAGTCCTCAGGTCTGATGTAGGGAGGGGACCAGGGCACATCCCTCCCCTTTGAGCATCTCATTTCTCCCTCTTTGGGTTTTTGGGGGAGGAAACATAGCCATTATCGATGAACCCTTGGGGCTGGCTTGCCGATGGCTTCCACCCATTCATGTCACCCAAGCGCCCCTGTTGGCTTCATCTTCTCCAGGGAGCACAGAGCCAGGGTTATGTAGCGAGAGCTGCTGTGAGGCCTAGCTGCTCCCCCTTCCCTTCCCTTCCCCTCCCCTCCCGGGGGACCCATTTTCTCCCATTGGTGAAATCCAGCTCCCAACTTCTGGATGAGATAAGGTATGGGTAATTAATTGGCAGGCTTGCTTAAAGCAATCAATATTCACTTGCATGGAAAACTTGAGTGGGTCCCGAGGAATTCCTCAGCCCATCCTCAAGTTCCAACAGAATGAACCAAAGGCAAGATGATCTTGTGTGTATATGGAGTCTCCCGTGTGAAGAACAGAGGAAGTGGTTCCCATGTCGAACGTCTAGTTTGTTTTCCTTCTTTTACCTTCTGTAAAGTCACCTCTGCAGGGCCGGGCCCAAAGGAAGATCCAACAGCAGGAAAGGTGCTTGATTTGCAAGTGGCCGCCTGGGTTTGATCAATCCCCCAGCACCCCACATGGTACCCCGAGCTCTGCCAGGAATGATCTCTGGGTGCAGAGCCATTAGTCAGCCCTGAGCACCACCGGGTGGGGCCCAAATCAAAAAAAAAAAAAAGAAAGAAAACCCAGCAATATACTACAATTTACAATTGCCTTTTGAAAAGTTGGAGTTAAAAAAAAAAAAAAAACCTTGATAGGTTTTAAGAAAAAAAAAAGTCTTGAAATTCCAGCCCTTCCTTCTTATTGGGTGCATGTGAATAAGAAACACTGGTCTTGCAGCCTTTTGAAGGAAGCAGATCTTCCAGAAAAAAGCACCTTTCCGGGCCTCTGGGACCAAACCCCAAGCTGCTCAAATCTGGCAGCGGTTCAAAGGTGAAGTCATTCATGCCCCTGGCCGCATTCTCCAAGGCCGCTCGCGCTTGCACATGTCTGCCACTAGGTGGCGGCACAGCCCCAGAAAGGAAGGCCTCGCACAAAGGGCTCAGTCTGGGCCGCCCGTCAGAGCCCCGCGGACTGGGGCCGGCCTTGCCAGTAAAGGAGGGGGAGGGAGCGGAAAGAGGGGGGCCCCCTTGTGCAGACCGCGGAGGGTGGGCCTCGGAGCAATCTAGCAGCCCCGCGCTGTGCGCCACATGGACGTCTTAAAGGAGTGCAGGCTGGGTGGGAAAGGGGTGGAGGGCAGACGGCAGAGAGGACCAACCATCCTCGCAGCGGCTGGCACTCCTGCCTTTGTAGAGGGACCCCAGCCCCAATCTCAGAGTCCTCCAACCACTGGCTCTTTTGCAAAGGTCTGGGAACTGATTGCTCTATCTATCGTTTTTTCAGATGTGCAGGCATCTCGAGACGCTCTATCACGAACTTGGGGTTTGGGGCTTCTGAGACCACAAGCCCTGGTGAAGCAAAGTGGAGCTTTTTCTCAGAATTTGGCAACTGAAAAATTTGGGGGGGTTGAGTCATACATGATGTCACTGTGTTTCATGTCTCTGGACACGGGAGCGCGTGCGAGCGCCGGCACACACACACAAACACACACACACACACACACACACACACATCCATCTCTTCTACTCATCTCGGTGAACGTCCTATTCATGAATGTGGCATCTCACCGGGCAGAAGTCTCTGATGTGAAAGGGTTAACTCCCCCAAAGTGTGAATGTTCCCAATGGTTCCCCCCCCAAAGTGTGAATCTTCCCAGTGGTTGTGGTGATCCTGCAGCCCCCAGATTTTTTTTGCAGGGGATGCACTGACCAGAAGAGAGAGAGAGAGAGAGAGAAGGAAGGGGGTTGGGCACTGTCATTACCAGCAGCTCCTGTGGCTTGATGGAGTTGTCGGTGTAAATGCACAACTTTTCAGCTGTCAGTGGGATGGTCTCCTTGAGCTTGGAGGCCAGAAACATGCAGACGGCCCCCAACAGCTGCAGGTGAGTCTTAGGGGTGGGGACCCCCGCCAGGAAGCGATCCAGGTAATTCATGGCCAAAGAGAAGACCTCTTCCTCACACTTCTGCTCTTCGCAGACCTGTACAACAGAGGGGTGGGGGTGGGAAAGGGGTTGGGGTGCGGAGAGAAAATAGTTATCAAGGGAAAAGTGGGGGGAAATGCGTCCTTTCTGGAAGGAGTCAACTGTTATTTAATTCGGGGGAGGGAGGAGAGTCAAGAATGAAGCCCCGGAAACAGTTCATTCCAGCGGGGCTCTGACCTAGGTGTCTTTTTTTTTTTTAAAGTATTCTTTGGGGGAAAAAAAAATAAAAAGGTGAACTAAAGATGCCTAAAGGAGCGGCTGGGGGTCCCAGAAAGGCGCGCGCAGACGCCCGCAGCCCCGCCGCGCCGCTCTTGGCTCGGCGCTTCTGCGCTGGCCCCAACTCACTCACTCTCTTTTTCGGATTTCGTCATCTTTTCAAAAAATCAATAAAAATATTCTGGACGCTCCGCGGGTGTCCTTCTTGGTGCCGTTCGAACCCTCAGACCCTGCTCTCTCATTCCCGACAATTGGAAAAATTGTGCGGGGGGTTCCTGGCGGCCCAGGCGCCGCTTTTGGAGGGGTGGGTGGGGAGCGGCGGGGCAGAGGGGGGAGGGTGGGGTGGAGGAGGAGCGCCGCCGCGGCGGCCGCAGGAGTCGGAGCAGGGAAGGGGGGGGACGGCTTCAAAAATTAATTAAAAATCAAGGAAATACCCTAGAAAAGACTTTTCGGCGTGAAAACCCCCAAGAGGAGCCAGGCTTCCCGAAACGCAGGTTCCGGGGCCCGGAAAGGTCTGCGTCTGGGTCCCCCGGGGCCCTGGACTCCCCGGGGGAAACTTGGAGAGGTGAGCGCCGGGCAGGCGAGTCGGCGGCGGTGGCGGCCCACAAGGGCAGCGATCGGGGAGCGTGGCGGGCACTGGGGGGAACAATGGGGCGCGGGGAGCCCCCAGGAGGAGTCCTGGGGGGCCGCCACCCGTTTTAGGGGCGCCTGATCTCCTCCCCCCTCCCCTGCTCCCCCTCCACCCGCGCCTCCCCCACCCAAATCTCCGCACCCGGGCAAACGGGAGCGGCTAACTGTAAGTAGCCCGCACTTGGTGGGCGCGGGGGACCAGGCCGCCGTTCTGAGCGGGGTTAGGGGGGCGCACGGGGTGCCCAGGGGCGTGGGGGCACGTTTCTGCAGCGCTCCCAAGTCGAGTTTTGCAAAGCAACATGGCGAAACCACGGCAGGTCGCGAGCGGTGCCTACGTGGGCACACGCCGCCGCGCACAGAGCCGCAGCCGGGGCAAAGACGGGGTCCTCTTAGGGTGCCCCGAAAACACACGCTTCTGGGCTGTAACTTCCGGGGCGCCTGAATTTCCCCGTCCTCCCCCCTCTCTCCTCCCCCCCCACTTCCCTTCTCCTCCCCCTTCCAAGTGCCAACGCGGAGTCGCGACCACATGTGGGAACCTGAGTCCAGCGCGCATTTGCTTGAGGCCCATTTGGGGAGGGGGGGGCGCTGCTTTTAAAAAAAAATTAAAAAAAAAACTTTGCTCCCACTTTCAAACTCTTACTCCCTTCCCCTTGCACCGAAAGCTCCCCGGGCTTCTGCAAAGGCAGGTCCGGATTTGGAGGGGGGGTGGGGGGGTGGGAGAGGCACGCGCGGCCCGGGATGCTCCCCCACCCCCACCCCGCCCCGGGACAGTCGCGTCGCGCCAGATCACCACCCCCCACCCCCCCACCCCTCCCCTAGGGAATCTTGCATCCTGCAAGGCTCGGAGCCGAGCCACGCGTTCCCCACCCCCCCACACTCCCCACCAAAGGGCGCGGGGTCACCTCGCGCGCCCAGGAACGGGGGAAAGGCGCGCGCGCGCGCGGAGTTTGGGGAGCCCCTCTGCGTGGCGGGGCGGGCGCGCGCGGGACTCGGGGCGCGGGACGCGGTGGGGGGGAACGCAGACTTACCTCCAGCATCCAGGTGGCCACCATCCTGCGCATGTAGGGCTGGATGTCCTTCTGCACGCACTTGAAGTAGGAGCACTGAGGCAGGTAGCGCTCCTCGACGGTGAGCAGGTTCTGCAGGACGCGGTCGTCCTGCAGCAGGGTGGCGTCCCGCACGGCCCTGCGGACCGGGTCCACCTCGCAGCACAGCAACTCCATGGCCAGCCGCTGCCCACGCGCTCCCCTCCGCACTGGAAAAAGTTGGGGGTTTTTTGGGGGGGAGGGAGGAGAAGGGAGAAAGGGAGAGAGGGTTCTCCCTCAGCTCCTCTGGCTAATTGGGGATGGGGGAGGGCGCGGTGGGGTGAAGTTGAAGGGCAGAGAGAGAAGTGGAGGAAAAGAGGAGGGAAGGGTTGGGCGGCGGAGGCGAAGAGCCGCAGAGGCTCCGAACTCTCCGGCCCTCCCCTGCGAACTGGGCTCGCTCCCGACTCGCGCGGAGCTGGGCTCTGCGAGGCAGTGACGCAAACCGGCTGGGCAGTTCTCCTCCCTTGCAGCCTCCCTCCCCTCTCGGGTTCCTCCTCCCGCCCCTCCCCTCCTTTCAATCTCGCCCTCCTTTCCCCCTCTCGTTATTAAGGAGTACAGCAGCTGGCCCGACCCAACTTCAAACGCGGCCCCCCGCCCCCCTCCACCCTGCTCCCTAGCTCGCCGAGGCCCGGGTCTGGGGGCGCGCGGGGCGGCGCGCGGTGGGTGGGGGGGTCGGGGGGGGGGGAAGAGACTCCCGTTTATTCGCTCTTCATTTCGTCCCTTCGGTATCAGAGCCAAGAGGACACTCTTGGGCCCCTACAAAACGGGGTTGGACACTCCTGGTCCAACTAGTTTAAGATGAAGCCGGGGGGGAGGGGGGGTGAGCGCAATTTGGAAAAAAAAGTCCTAGACGTGATTTTTAAAAAAAGTGATATATATTAAAAAAAAAAAAAGCAATCTCTTCATACCCAGAGATACAGGCTGTGCCCCCCGATCTGTGTGTCTCTGATCCTTTCCAAGTTACTTCCCAAAACGTGGCCCCCGCTCCCCTCGCCGCCCCCCTCTGTGGGCGCCCATGTGCGCGGAGGCGAAGACGGGGAAGGGGTGGGTAATCGGGAGGGAAGGGGGGCGGCTTCCCGACGTGATAGAATGTGACTCTGGAAAAGCCGCCGTCCCGGGCTGGGGGGCGCTCTGGGCGCCCCTGGGAAAGGCAGAGAGGCGCCCGGGGCCGCCGCAGAGGCCGGGGGCGGGGGGCAGGGCCACCGGCGGTTCCTCCGCGGCCAGCGGCCACGCAGGAAAAAGCCGCTTCCTCGCCCCTGCCTCTGATGACAAGCGGCCCGAGGTGTCTGCGCCGAGCGTGGCCACACTGATGCAGCTTTCTAGGAAACGGCCCGGGAGGGGGAGGGGAGGGGAAGGGAGGAGGGGGGCGGGGGGGGACCGAGGCCGCGCGCCCCCGCACCCCTTCCTCCCCTCCGAGCCCCGGGGGCTGCCCACCCCGGGGGTCACGCCTCGCCCGCCGCGCAGCAGCCGAGACTCCGGACATGTGCTCGGAGTTGCCTTTGCGGGGGCGGGTGGGGAGGGGGGGGGGGTGTCCAGGCTGCTTCTCCCAGCGACTCGGTGGCGTTTCCTTCCCTCCTTCCACCTCCCCTCTGCCCCCCCAACCCCCCCACCCTGCATCCCTCCCGGCCCTTCAGTGCCATTTCACTTGGGGGGCGCGCGCGGGGAGGGGGGTGTCCCTCCACCCCCACCCCATCCCCCACCCCGCGTGGTGGCCGAGCTGGCACGTGCAGCCCGCATGGCGTGGGGCTGGGGCTCGCTGGACACCCCTAGGTCCCGCCGAATCCCTCTGGCACTGAGAATGGGGGGCCCCCCCGAGCTGGGGCGCCGGGAGCCAGCGCCGGGGTGTGGGTGGGGGGGTGGGTAGACGGACAGGCGGAGGGGGGGGCGCGCGGGCAAGCCGTGCGCTCGGTTCCCTAAAAAGGGGGGGCGCACACCCAGGGAGAGCGGGCGGAGAGCGAATGAAAGCAGAGGTGCAAGCGCTGGACGCGGGCAGGGCCGCCCCTTCCGAGGCGGGCGGGGCGGGGAGGGGAGGAGGGGTGGGGGGAGGAGGGCTATCGCTTTAAAAGGGTGAGCCGGAGTTTGGGGCGCCGGCTCCCCTCCCCCGATTTGCATAGCCAATGGCTCCGAGCCTCCCGCTACTGCGCGCTGATTGTTACCGGGCAGATTACTTTTTTTTTTCTCTCTCTCTCTTTTTTTTTTTTTTTTTTGTAGGTCGCGTTCCCCGCTACATCAAAAGGAAGCCGAGGCCGAGCGGAGGGGCGCGGGCCGGGGGCGCCCGGGGGCGCGGGCTCGGACCTTATCTAGCGCCCGGGGGGAATTAAGTCTCCGATCTACTGTATGGAAAGAAAGGGGAGGGCAGGGGGCGGGCGAGGAAAAGGTCTAATTGCCCGGGAAGCCTTTAGCTTTGGGGAAGGGGTGTGTGGGGGGGTGGTGGTGGTGGAAGCCGAGGTCGCCGAAAAGATGGGGAGGGGTGGGGGTGGGAGAGAAAAAAAATAAAGCCAGTTGCAAACTCAAAGTGAAAAGGCCCCTCGGGGTGCGGCGAGCGCCCCTCGGGAGACCGGGCCGCTTCCGATCATCCCCACCTATTGATCTTAGTCAACGTGGGACTTCCCACGCGGCTGATAAATACATTCATTTTAAGACCCCGTAAAGCAGTGACTCAGACTTCAACTCCGCCACCTCGAAGGGAAGCAGAGAAAACGCGGCTGCAAGGGCTGGGGGGCCTGGGGGGAATAGGGGTGGAGATGGGTTTAAAAAAATTTTTTTTTTATTTTTTAATTTTAATGATCAATCGAACCCGACAGGCAAGGACAGAGGCCGCCAGGGTGCTCAGCCTCTGGACCATGCTAGTTAATAAACTAAAACTAGCGTGGTCTTTTCTCTCCTTCCTTGCAGGGAGAAAAAAAAAAAGCATCCCTGGCTCTGCTGGGTCTCCCGAAAAAAAAAAAAAGAAAGGCGGGAAGGGGGAGGGGGCGCGGGGAAGAGGCGGGTGGTCGCCCAAGCGGCTTCGCCCACCCTGGGGAGAGAGCCTGGGTGGCGGGTCCTCCAGGCTTTGCAATCGCAGCCTCTGCCCCCTTCTCCGAACCCCTCGCCTAGCTCCCCCCGCCCCCCACCGTCTAGCTTTACGTTGGAATTCCAGCGGGGAGCGGTGGCCCCGCGGAGGGGAGGGGCGCGGGCGGACGCCCCCCCCCCACATCCCAGCCCGCCCCCTCCTCGCCGCCGCCGCCCGGCTCGGTCCCTGAGACCCGAGTTCGGAGGCTCCCCGCGGGGCAGGCTCGCCCTTCCTCGAGTTCCCGGGTCCACTTGCCCCTTCCGATCGCCCGATCCAGAGCGAGCAACCTCGCCTGGAGTCTGCGCCCCGGTCGGGGTTCAGTCTCCAGCCCCCGGGTGGGGCGCGAGAGGGGTGCGGAGGCTGGCAGGAATGTCCCGGCGGCGAGGCCAGGGCTGGAGGCTGAGCTGTGTGTCCCCCCCACCCACCCACCCACCCCGCGGGTCGCCCCCCGGACCACGTGCGACAGCCCGGCTCGCGCTGGTTAAAAAACACGCGGGACGTCAGGCGCGCTGGCTGCTTGCGCTAAGGCGCGCGTTTTCCATGCGGGCATTTGCAGAAGGCCCCCCCCCCCCCCAACCCCTGTGCTTGGGCTTTGAAGTCAAAACTGGGGCTGGGGGGCACCAAAAAGGGAGGAGAAGTTGGGTGCTTCCCTTTTTCACCCTCCAAGAAAAAAAATATACATATATGTCTATGCATATCCTATATCTGCCAGCCTTCTCAGCATGTGTGATAAAACGCAAGTTTTATTGGACTCTTATTCCCTCCTTTGTGGGCTCGCCGCCCCCACCCCCTACTTCTTCGGTCCTGGAGTTTCGGTTGGAAAATGTACAAAACCCTGTAGGTGCAGGGTGCAGCCGGGTGTTGGGTGTTTATAGGCACATTTTTTTGCAGGAACCTGCAGCGCTGGGCACACAGGCTCACCTGGCGGGTGTCGCCACGGAGCTGGGCACCCTGGCAAGTTCGAGCCCCGCGGGCGCTCGGGCAGGACTGGGGAGGGAGTTTGGGTGTCGTGAGTTCACGGCTGGGTGGCGATGATGCGGGGGCATTGCCCTTGCCCCAGCCCCCCACCCCCAGTAGTGCTGTGCTTACGGGGGTCCTCCACTGAGGAACCAAAACGCAAAACCCGACGGCTACCGGCTAGTGGTCGGGGGCCGGCTTCAAGCTCCAGGGGTTCCCTCGAGCAAGAGAAGTAGCGTGGGCGCCGGAGGATGGGTAGGGGGCACTGATAGGGAGGAAGCAGAGAGCACAGGAGGGGGGAGGGCGACGTATCCGGGGACGAGAGGGAAAGGTCTGGGATTGAGGGGCGCAGGGGACGCGACGCAGGCTGGGTGGGGACCCGCCGGGCGCGGCGCGGGCACGCGGCGATTCCACGACCCTCAAGCCGAAGTCCCCTTCCGGCTGGACGCTCCCCCCGGGGCGCTGGGGATGTGCAGGGGCGGGAGGGCCTGTCGGATGGCGACTGCCCTTTGGATGGGTTTCAGCTGGGACCCCCGCAGGGCGCGCCCACCCCCGCGTCGGGTGTCGCAGGCGCGCGCGGGGTGCGTTAGAAGGCGCGCCTGGGCCGTCGGCGCACCCACGGGCACCCACACCTTCACCCGCTTGGGGGCGGGGGGTGTGCTGGGGGGAAACGGGTAATTTTTCATGATTATTATTATTTTTTTTTTTAAATTGAAGAACCGAACTTCCCCCTCTTCCTGTCTGATTCAACTGCAGGGACACGCCTCGCGAGGCCGAAAATAGTTCTGGAAATACATTCGCTTTCGGGGGGCGCGGGGCGGGGGGGGGGGTAAAGAAGCCCCAAATCGTAAATAAGAGGAGGGGTGTCCGATAAAGATCGGGGCTGGGGGCGCCTGGCCCGTGTCCCGGCGGAGCCCCCGCCAGCAGGGAGGGAAAGAAACGGGCCGTGCGGGTCCTTCTGCAACCCCCACCCGCCTTGGCTCAGCCCCCCTCGGGGGCGCCCCCGGGAGGGGCCCGCTGGGCGGCGGAATCGCGCCTCCGCCGCCGGGGAGCCACCACGCGGCTTTTTCGCGGAATTTTGACGTCACCCACACGTGGGGGAAGGGGCAGGGAGAGCGAGAGGAAGCGGCGGGGGAGGTGGCCGGCGGCGGGGGCCCGGGCTGGGGTGGGGGTGGGTGGGGCGCGCGGCGGGGCGGGACCCCGCGTTCCGTGGCCCCCCGGCCGCTTGCGCGCGGCGGGGGTCCAGGAGCCCCAGGGGAGACCCTCCCCGCCTCTCCCCTGCCCCAGCCCCCAATTCCTCCCCCAGCATCACCACCATCCCACCCCTACACACCCCCATCCCCCCGGAGTTTTTTTTTTTTTTTCATTTGGAAGTCGG